GCGACGCGGAGGGTCAGAGACAGGAAGAGGGACGGAGAGAGGAACTGTGCTCTCTCGGGGCGCATCACTCAGGAGAACGATTAAAGCCTTTCCGCCGCACAAATCGTGTTGAGTGCTTTCCTGCTGGACGGGAGGGCGCCCGACAAGTGACCAATACACAGTACCAGCAAGTAAAAGGAACAAGGCTCCCAGCAACTGAAAGATACTGAGACCTTTAGCATCACAGAAAGGAATAAAGGTCCAGGGTGTACAGAAGCAACATGGCGAGGCTATCTTCCCTCTGTCTTCTAACCTCCTGCTGAGGTGAGTTCTCCCGTGGGTGCTGCTGGCTTAAGCCCCTTTGGTCTGACTGTCTGCACTCTTCTCAGTTCTCGGCACCTTCCCTTTGGCCATGTTTTGTTTTTCTCAGCAGAAATCTTCCATGCAGGCTGGTACCAAATTTCCTTCCTGTGTCCTTGAGTATCCCTGTGTCCTCTGACTCACTGCTGGTCTTCTGTCCCCATGTGCTCCTGGTGAGGTCCTCTAACCTACTCTCAGCCTTAATGGATTCTTCCTGTGAGGATCATACCTATTCTTTGCTTCAAATACCACAAAATCTCTACTTCTATGTATCCTTTCTTATACTCTTTCTTACATTTCTTTTACTAGAAACCCCTATTTTCTCCTCATTACATAAATTACACCTGCTTTTATAGTAATACCCTCACATAATTTGTAATCACTCCTGTGTGGTGCCTATACTCCTTGGGTATCTAATCTGCCATAATAGGCTGCACAATACAGAGACTTAGACTGTATTGGCAGGCATTGTAGGGAAAGTAGAGGTAGCAGAGACTCAGCTACACCTGCTGTGGTCCACTCCAGACAGATACTCTCCTCTTTATCACTAACTTCTTAGAGATAACCCCACACACACTCCCCACCAAGACTGGTGTTTGGAGGGGAAGACAGATGGCAGGAGCTGCGATTCAGCCAGCCCTACAATGTGATTTCTCCCCCAGGGCTTAGCTGCAAAGGTAAAGCAACAAGGCCATGTTCCTCCATGTGGCAGCTCAGTAACCTGCTGCCATTCCCGCCCTAGGCTTGGTCACCTAGAAGTGTCTCCTATGGCTTATCCCTTTATTGTCATCATTAGCTCCTGGGTTATACTTCTTAAGTCGCTTCTCCAGGATATGAGGATGGCAGGAGACTGACCCTGTACTGTTAGGCCATCTGGAGAGAACCTAAGGAAGATATCCCACTGAGAATCCAGTGGAGGACACTGTTGTATGGCTCTCATTGACCCCACTAAAGAGAAACTATTGACTTATTGGGGACCTACTACTACATATAAGGTTCTCATCAACACACAAAATGAAAAAGAAGGCAACAAAGAGTGGTAGGGTAGCCTGAGAGGAAACTAGATTTGCAGGAGGGACATACACTGTAGCAAGGGCTGCAAGTGATGTGGGTCTTAAAGGCAGGTTCTCCTGTCTGGATACCCACACACATTGCCTCAGCAATTCCCCTGTGCTTAGCTCTAAAGAGAATGGTGACAGAAAACAGATTATGATTCTTTAGTGCTAAGAATAAATTGAAAGCTTATACTTCAAAGAAGGATTGAAACAAGTTTTCTTCATAATAGCCCTATCTTGAAAGTCAGTATGACCAACGTTGGTACTACTTAACAATGCTTCCATAATTCTCAAAGACTTGTATAGAGTGTTCCTGAAAAATCACAAGTCAGCCCAGGACCTGACCCAAGAAGAAGAATCTTTCTCTCTCAAGTAAGTCCCAGTATGCAGCTGGAGTTCTATGATACCAAGAGAAGACAAGGCATGTCCCCACTGTAGCCTGGGCTGTGACTACTACAGCAGCCAACTGAGACCCCTGCATTTAGATCCCAGCCCACAAGGGCACTCACCACCGCAGGGCAATCTTGATGGGGGTGGTGAGACAGGATGTGAACAGGTCAGCTGGGAGGTCAGGGATCATGGGCAGGAGCTCGTTGGCCTCGCAGGCCGCCAGCTGGATGCAGTTCTTCATCGATGGGGGCAAGGGCATCTGGGCAAGTGGGTGGTTTGGGTTGATTGCTGCAACCTATAGGGAGAACACAGAAGATACTAGCTTAGCTAACACAAGTGGAGGATAGGTTAGACTGGAATGAGAAGGAAAGGAGGATTCAATGGAGGACTCAAGCTGTGCGAGTTCATCACTAAGTTCTTCTGGGAAAGGCTGATGGTTGAATTCTCTCCTTCAGGTTAATGGTTAGGCGTAAAAACTCATTCCCATCATCCCCAAGTCCTTTTGTCAGCAGACTGAGTGATGGAAGCAGAAGGGTGGTTCAAAGTGAGGTTTTTTTAAAAAAATTTTATTTATTTGTGTGTGTGTGTGTATGGCCAGCTCAGCCCACCAGGGGGCGGAGCTGGCTGGCATGTGGTGCTGGGGGATCGAACCGCGGTCCCTGTGCTTTGCTAAGCTTGTTCTAAGTAGGTGCTTTAGACCACTGAGCCATCTCACCAGCCCTCAAAGTGAGTTTTTAAATTTTTGCCTATCTTTACCACATTTCTCTAAATGTTCTATAAACAAATGTGCATTGATTTTGTAATCAGGGAGAAAGTATTTTTTAATTAAAAATGTAATTTTCATTTAAGGTAGATAGTAACACATGCTTGATTTTTACTTCAATGATGGGGTAAAGACCCCAGAACTAAGGCTGATACCATACCAAGGCAGCAGGAGGGCAGTCCACAAGACAATTACTGTATCCTATGGGAATGGACACAAAATTTTCTTCTGACTTAATAAAATCTAATTAAAAGTTTAAATTTTATGAATTATGCAATGCAGCCAAATGTTAAAAAATTACAGAACTAACTAATCTTGATTTACCTCATGGCCATGGATAATTAAGAGTCCCCAGAGCACCAGCAAACAACAATATTCAACTGAACATGGACTCTATCACATCAAACATAACTACCCTAGTGTCAGCATTTTGCTTCTCTGCTTCAAAAAGTGCATGCGTGCTGCATGTTCTAAGTCAACCACAGGTCTGCTGTCATTTTCAGAGATAATGAAGTTCACAAGAATGCACAGGATTTGGAGCTGTAAAATTTAGTAAGTTTAATGCATGAGGGATTGTGCACACACACTGCTGTCTGCTCCTGAGAATAACAGCCAAGAACAGTGCCAGGACCATTTCACCAAAGAAAGCACTTCAAATGGCGACAAATAGCAGTCGCCTTAAGATGATGCAATGACTCAAAAAGTGTGGGAAACTCCAGGTGTCCAGAGAGAGCCTGAGCTCCCAAAGCCCCTCAACAGCACTGCAAAGAGCCAACTATATGGGGGCAACTGCAGGCTTGATAGAAATGAAGGGGAAAAAAAAAACCCCTGAAGACTGCACAGAATGCAAGAGAAGTGCTTGTATGCTTTTTTTTTTTTCTTCTGTTGGCCTTGATTATAGTGTCTGAGCAGAATATTTAGAATAATAAAACTTGAAACTCAGAAAATGTTGATTATGAAGGTAGATACAACTTTCAGAATGCCTCCACTCACTAGCCTGGGAGTACTCATTATTTGTCACAATGAAAGCTATCTACTATGAGCTCAAATTTAATCCAGCCCACTTTGGCTAGGGATGTGGCATAATATAGCTCCACCTGAAGCCTGATAAAATGAAGTTTAATGCCAGAAAGAACCACCTTCTAATGCATTTTTATTCATTTAACAGGCCATTCAGCAACAAAGATCTGGAGAATCATGTTACAGAGTGCTGATCACTCTGCTGTAGAGCTTTCAAGTTATTTGTTATTTAAGTCATTTCTTGGGTCTGTTTCATAGATACCACAGGAGCACGACGTTTCTTTTTACTCAGACAATAGCAGACCTCTGAGAAGGAAAGGTACGACACATGTGCAATCACGAGGAGCACCGAGGAGGGTGGAACGAGTCCAGCAGCATTGCTCTTCATAGAGAGCCACTATGTCTTGCAAAGTACATTTATATATCACCATTTTTGCTCCTTACTAATAATTCCCTCTAGTTGCAGTTGTTAATATTTCTCAAATCCCTTTTATGTGTACCATTCCATTTGCTTTTTACAACATCCTGATGAGGTAACTTTCATCTCCATTTTGAAAGATCTTCCGCAACAAAAAAGCAGAAGCCTCAAGGAGCAATGTAACTATTCAGCTACCACGTCAAGTCATGGCTGGAGTGCCAACAAGCTACTTCTGCTTTTAGGACCATATTTCACTTTAACCTGTGCCAGGCATCTGTAACACTAACGTTCCACAGAGCATACTCAGCACCTTTTAAATCAAATCCACAGAAAGCTATATTGCTTCCTAGGGACCAGCTTAGTGATGATGGTAGAGCATGTTGTCTTAGTCACATTTCTCTTGTTACAGAGACAACATACCTGATACCCAAAATTAAGGAAGAAAATGTTTATTATTTAGCTCACAGTTTGTGGAGGTTTTAGTCTATACTCAACTGGTTTTAAGGCAAGGGTGGTGTGGCAGAGGCGCAACAGCTTCTGCTGGCAAAAGATACAAAAGAAACAAGTGCCAAAAGGGGCAAAGGAGGAGGAACAAGACTCTTTCCTCCTTTTATTCTGTGCAAACTACCTGCTGTAGGACAGTGCATCAATTACATGCCAATCCCAATAAACCAGTCACAAACTCTTGCCTCTAAAAAGCCCTCCTCAGGCCAGGGCGATAGCTTGGCAGTCTAAGTACCTGTCTGGCAAGCACAAATACCCTGGTCCAATGCCCAGTACTGCATGCCATGCTGGCCCTGAACCTTGCTAGCCACTGAAACCGAGCATGGTGGCACACACCTGTAATACCAGCACTGGGGAGACTGAGACAGGAGGATCATTGAGTCCAAGTTGCATAGCAAGACCCTGTACGAAATAAAAAGCCCGCCTCAATGACCACAAGAGGTTTGGAGGGGCATCCAGACATAAACCATAACAAATGTGTTCTTGTAGTACCCATACATTCTATCTTAACATCTTGAATTTCTCAAATGCAAGATACTAAATGTAAGTTTTACCAATACTCCCTTCTGATACAAGAACATTAAACCTTAAGTCAACGTCAAATACTTGTATGCACAATAATAAAATATAAACCTTTTAGTTAAAAACAGAAATTCCTAGAAGAATAGGTGTTATTATAGTTAATACAGAAAATTTGCCATCTTAGCTATCTATTGATTGACTGACTGATTGCAGTGCTAGGGAAATAATCCCAGGGCCTCATGTAAGACAGGTAAATATTCTACCACTGAGCTACACTCTCAGTCCTGTACTATTTTAGATGTACAGTTCAGAGCTTAGTAACACTGAGTATGTCTAGGCTACTACGCAACCACCAATAACATATAGGCTTTTTAAAAGCAAAGATAAAAGGGAAGACAAAATCATGTTTAAAATGATTTCCTGCAGTCTGGCTATATAAGCTAATACAGATCGACAAGCAACAGCTCTGCACAGGAAATTAGTTTTCAGGTCTGCAGCATCGACCCCCCCATGCAGGATGACAGGTCTGGGCATGAGCCAGTCTGCAGCTCATCAGCTGTGAGTCACACAGGGGCCAGGCAAGGGATCCGGGGGCTGCAGAAGCATCTGAGCACAAAACAGGCCCTACAACCTGGCACTGAAAAGGCAGTAGGGGGCTACATAGAAGTGTCCTCTGATGACCAGGCCAGCTGGAAGATGGCTGGAATGGAAAAAAGCTCGACATCTGACATGCGTGGGTGCAAGGAAGGCTGTGTGCACCCTAGCAAAATGAAGCACAGTCCTGAAGTGTGACACACAGCCTTCGAGATACCTGTCTGGATCTGATGGCAGACTGACACTATTTTAATAAGTACTACTAACTAGCCCCTGGCGGTCCTGGGCATAGAAGTATAAGGATGGCTGACAGGTGATTAAAAAGGAAACAATGCTAAGTAGGAAGAAATAGCCATTTATTCTTTCTTTCTTTCTTTTTTTTTTTTTTTTTTTTTTTTTGACAGGATTTTGCTATGTAGTTCAGGTACACTTCTAACTTACAGTGATTCTCCTGCCTCAGCATCCAGAATGATGGGGTTATAGGTGTGCACCATGTGCACCACTACACCCAGCTTTGAAAAGAAACATCCTTGCAGTTGAGGCAAAGTGTTTGTCCAATGAACATTATTTTCAGGCTTGCTAACCCAAGAATAAAAAATCCATCTTAACAGATGAATTCCTTCCTAAACACCATCTTAGTTATATATTCATCTAAGATAGTGACTCTTTAATTGGAATTATTCTGTGGAAGCAGGGCTACAGGCTATTAGTAACTTGGAGGGCTGTGAAGGCAGCCAGGTAGGACACTTTCTCTTGCTTCTAACCTACGAGGGCTCCACACAGCAGCATTTGCATGCAAGTGTTTCTCCTGGGAACTAGGAAGCTCCTCATAGCCTTCTGGAGGGTTTGGGACAGGTCCAGAAAAGTCTTCAGACGTGACTGGCAGCCTCAGCTCTAAGAGGATGCTGCATTTTCTCACATGTGTGCCACAGGGAACTGTGGTGCTTAGCAGTCTCATAGCCCCCAGGCTTGTGGCCATTTGCTTCAAACATATTGCTGCTAGTTCAAGGTAGCACATGCCTTCCTTTCCCAAATCAGACTGTGACAGCAAGCTGCTTGTGTCCCTTCTCAAACACATGTGAAAGACATCTTCACGAGAAGATAAAGGCACCAGTATTTCAGAAGCACTCTTAAGGAATGAATTTTGAGAGTAACATCTCAGTAATACTTTAGTTCTGCCATGAAGCAACTTTAATTCTTAATTCAAGAACACATAATTAGAAGGTGTTCCCATAAAGTTCAGTGAAAGATGAACTCTGGGGCAGGCCAGATAGCTCAGCAGACTAAAGCGCCTGCTTAGGTGGAGCACAGCGACTGGGGTTTGATCCCTGGCATGCGGTGCTGGCCCTGCCCCTGGGTCACACTGAGATAGCGATTGAGACTGGGCACAGTGGCATGTGCCTGTAATCCTAGCATTTGGGAGGCTGAAAACGGGAAAATCACTATAAGTCTGATCTGTGTAATGAGACCCTAT